TATCTATCTATCTATCACACACACACACACACACACACACACACACACACACACACACACACACGAAAGCAGCCAGAGGCTATTGCTCCCGTTTCCCGAATACTGAATACAGAGGCTGACTGCATGACTGCCAAAGCTGGTGCAGGCCAATGCAGCGAAGGAGCCACAGGTGGGTGGTGCGGGCGGTAAAGGACGGCAGTCCATAAGCACAAATGGCTAGCAGAAGGTTCACTCTCGTTTTGCACATTTCCACCCTCCGCACCCAGAAAAGGGAATAATCTGTGCGGTGTATCTTTCCATGTTCTAGCAGAATATACATTCCCGTTTTGCACACTTCCAAAGTTACTGTAGCGGAGCGAGGCCGAGCGGGCAGGGCTCCATCGCTCTCGAAATGTGCAAAACGACAGTGAATCTTCCGCTAGAACACGGAAAGATACACCGCGCAGATTATTCCCTTTTCTGGGTGCGGAGGGTGGAAATGTGCAAAACAAGAGTGAATCTTCCGCTAGAACATGGAAAGATACACCACGCAGATTATTCCCTTTTCTGGGTGCGGAGGGTAGCGGAGCAAGAGGCCCGACTGTTACATCACGTTACCGAACATCCCAACGTTAACTTGAAGCCCACAAATGCCGCGTAACCGAACCGAACCTTCCAACAAGCCAACTACCAGTGGAATTACACCTTGCATCAACCACCAAACATGCCCACGTACACCTCTTGCCGGTCCTTCACAGGAAACGAAGCTGTGCACCTGCTTGCGGAGGAAACGAAGCTGAGCACCTGATTGCGGAGGAAACGAAGCTGTGCACCTGCTTGCGGAGGAAACGAACCTGTGCACCTGCTCGTGGTTAAGTTCTGCCGGATCATCATATCGTCTGCGAACTGTCACATGGACCTCCGTCATATCCTCCACGGCACACCGTCAGACATGAACAGTTCCCTTTTTATTTTTTTCCCATTCTTTTATGCTTTTCAAATTCACGTCTATCATTTTTAAAATGCGTCGCACCATGCCGCATGGGTTTCGTAAACTAAACCAATGCTAGTGGAACTTGGCTCCTGGACCCCCGCCGGAGCCCCAGGGCCGGGCTCGACAACCCTGACACAGTCCTGCCGGACTAGTCTTGGGGGGGGGGGGGGGGGGGGGGAAACTTGATATACATCTGAATTTTTGTTAAATTAGAGATATTTTATTCTCACTGTTGGCCCTTTCGGATGCTTGGGTTCTTTTTTCTTTTTGTTGTCACTTCGGAGTCTTGACCCTTCCAAATATTTCAAATTTAACAAAAACTTTTAAGTCAGTTATTGTACCTAGACAGAACCATGTATACGGGACCCGCTGGACCAGGTTTCCAGCAGGTGCTTCTCCCGACCACCAATAGAATCGATGGAACTTGAGTTGTTGCGTTTATTTTATTTTATTTGTTTAAATCGCAAAAAAAAAAAAAAAAAAAAAAAAAGGATCTCTGCACACAATTTCACAGGAACGTCAACCAATTCATCAGAAGTTGTTCATGTGACTCACGACATGATAACAATTCAAAAAATTTAATAATGATTTCGGCGAATGCTGCTGCCAGTGGAGGCTAGTGATGTAGAGTCTAGTATTTAATTTCGGCAAATGACGGCGATACTGTTGATTCCCCTGCCCAATGAAATACTTCAAATAATAATAATAATAATATAAAAAAAAAAAAAAAAAAACGCGATAAGATCGCTGCCTCACACAACTAGAAGCTCAATCCAGTAGCGATGGGTAATAGGTACTAACAAACTGTGCTCCTTCAACGCATTCTTTTTTTTTCTGTTTGTTTCAAAATGTTTGTTTGTTTGTTTTTCCCCAACCCAGTCCAGATCCCAATCCCAAACCTGTTTCCATCCCTATTCCCACTCCTGCTCCTCAGTGGTAATGGACAGAACGTAACGATGCCATTTTCTTTTCTTTTCTTTTCTTTACGCTTATTAAGTTGACGAGCGCATGTTCCAGTGCTCGAGCACGATCGAACCTCATTTGTTAAAAAAAAAAAAAAAAAAAAAAAAGAACCACTCTTTCCCTGCTTCCATACCAGGTCTTCCACATACGCTGACCATAGCACAACAGAGCAGAGCTCCTTCAGGATTGAGGAGCACCTTCAGAGACACACTCAGTCTGTCACTATGAATCTGCTACCTCTCAAAGACGAAGGGTATTGCTACCAATTTGCAATTTGCACGAGTGCGCCAAGGGGTCTCAACGAAGCTTCGATGATGTTCTCATCCATCTTGACTGGCTATTCAAAAGCCATTCAACAAAGCCTTGATGATATCAACAAAGCTTTGATGATGTCGACAAAGCTTTGATGATGTCGCTTCATGTGAACAATTTGCACGGAATGGCGATCGCGTCACTCAGACCAGTACGGCGACCAGACAATCGCCATGATTCCGAAGGCGATCCGCATCAGACACAGCTAGTATTCTGTCAACCACACGAGCTTGATTGGCTATTCAATAGCCAATAGCCAATAGCCAATAGCCAATAGCCAACACCCATTCAGACATCTACTAGCTTAATGGCTGCTATGAATGATGGCTCGGCAATCCAGAAGACGAGTTACCTATCGTCACCACCATCAGTCGCACACACTCGTGCCTTGATATCACCTGCAGCCCCATGCTGCAATTCCCAATTGACAACAACACATATTGACGGATTGCTCTCTGAACGGGTGGATGTCCATTGTCCGTCCCTCAATTGAAAGTCTGTTGTTGTTTCTACTAACTCTGTTGTTGTTTCTACTACACATCTGCAGTGCGTGCACAGTGTTGGGCAGTTCCTCTTCAAGTTGAGTACTAAGGTCTTGCGGAAGATAGGCTTCGCTCAAGAAAAAGAGATTGGATGATAAAAAAGGAGGAGGAGGAGGAGGAGGAGGAGGGGAGGAGGAGGAGAAGTGGACCTGGCCGCCGGTGGAATGAGAGAGAGTTGTCAGCTCATCCATTCACAACTTCAGAAGGATAAACACGGGGCAGGCTTACACATTGACAGCACTCATTTAATATAGTATGGGTTGATGCAGCGCAGGCAAAATGAGCTGATTGTGCGTCCACATGGTGGCATGCTGGGAACTCCCTTGAGGATGCAATGAGGAAGACGGCATCGAACCCTTGCCCTGGGAACTCCCTTGAGGATGCAATGAGGAAGACGGCATCGAACCCTTGCCCTGCTGATGATGACGAAATTCGATTTTGACGATGATTGACGATCATGATCATGGAAAATCTTTGGCAATCAAGCTGAGCCTCTCACTGGCTCTCAGTGTTTCAGGAAACCGACGTGTGTGAGCGCATCCTTGAGCGCGGCAAGAACAAGAGTCACTTGTGCAGGGTGGCAGTTGTTCCCCATCAGACCGATTCTCCACACCTGCCACGTTGCCACAACACCGCGAGAGAAACGGTCAGTTTAAATTTGTGAAGAGAAGCAGAGAGATGAGCGAGCAAATTCATTGAAGACCGCCATGACAACCATCTCCACTTGTGAGAATGTGACCACACACGTCAGCAACCACCGGGGCACTATCCCCGTGCGTGAAACTTTGCGATAAAGCACCAAACAATGCAAAACGCGCAAAATGAGTCTGCGAAGTCAAGCATACAAGTGCAGCTGCAGAGTCATCCCAAAGGACTGGGAACCGGACAGGGAACAGGACTGGGAACAGGACTGGGAACAGAACTCGGAACAGGACTGGGAACAGGACTGGGGACAAGACTGGGTACAGGACTGGGAACAAGACTGAGTACAGGACTGGAATCCGGACTGGGAACGGGACTAGGAACAGAGCTGGGAACAGGGTCTGTATAGACCAAACACAGAGTCTGCCACAGGACAAACGGGCCTTCAGACCAAAGGACTTGTTAGACGTCTTCTCAAACCACCAGTATGTCTGAGCCTCTTTTCCCAGCGCCGGTTTTTACGAGGCACCAGCACTGGGAACAAGACTCGGTACAGGACTGGCATCAGGACTGGGAACAGGACTAGGAACAGAACCAGGCACCAGCACTGGGAACAAGACTGCGTACAGGACTGGAAAGACTAGGAACAGAACCAGGCACCAGCAGCGGGAACAAGACTGGGTACAGGACTGGGTACAGGACTGGGTACAGGACTGGAATCGTGACTTGAATCAGAACTGGGAACAGGACCAGGAACAGAACCAGG